CCATTAAATAGCGGTGGCTTTATTTTTATTTTAGCCACACAACACCAGGGAAAAGAGGTAATTGGATTAAATTGATGTTCTTCCTTCTGGGATTCAGCAAAGCCCACAAACGCCTTCTTAAAGTGATAGAATATCGGGTCGTTTCCAGGACGCGCTTTTCTTCCCCGCACAAAGGCCCGGGAGCCCGTCACCCTGCGCCGGGCCAAGTGTGCCCGAGAAGGGCCAGAGGAGGGGCAGGGCGCTCTGCTTGAGAGGGCAAGTGTTTCTGCAGGGCAGGCAACTGCCGGCTGCCCAGACCCCCCTTCTGTAAACACAAAGAAAGGGGGCCTGGGGAATAGAAACCCAAATCCACTTGTAATCGTACAAGAGAATCGGGCGTAATTACTTGAGCAACCTAGATGAAGATTGATGAGGCTTTAAAGCGGCGTTTCGGATCGATCACCCTGCCCTTTGGAGCCTGCAGCCGGGCTTCCCCGGCTCTGATCGGCTCCTTTCCCACCGCCGAGGGAGGGAGAGAAGATGGAGGCGAGACTAGGAGAGCAGCAAGGCAAGCCCAGCGCATGTGATTCCGATCAGCTGACTGGGGTCAAGAGGCTACCTCGGTTTATTAGGAGATGGAAAACAATAAAATGAAAGAAAATAGAGTTTGTATCAATATTATCCCGTCCGCCACGCTGGGCTGCTGAAAGCTGTCACTGAAACTGTGTGTTCTAGCTTCCCCCTGTACGCACAGCAATCCCTGCCTTCTTCTTTATTTATTTTGCAACGTAAATGACAAAATATTGTGCAATAAGGGCTCAAATTGGGTGTTACAGTAAAGTAAAGCATTAACATGACAGTTAGATGCGCCGATACAGGAGTAATTTGGGCTAAGTGAGTAATTTGAAGAGCTGCTTGCAAGAGCTGGTAGTGAAGAGTACGTGCAGTGCTGGGGGAGGAGGAGAGGGCGCATCCGAGGCGTTGGCCCCGGTGCGAGCCGCAGCCCCGGGCTCGGCTCGGCCGCGCCAGCGCTCGCACGGCGCTGCTGGAGGGGCGAGCGGCCGGGCAAGGCAGCGGGGGGCTCACGGCTCTCTGCCCTCTGAGTTGGGGTCCCCTTATTGCAACGGAGATTTTTTAGCTGCGTAAAACAACCAAACCCTGTTTAGTACCTCCTGATACGAGGTTTGCCAGTTTCTAAAAGGTGTATCAGTCAGGTGTTGTACCTAGCTTCTCAATACTGGAGTGTTATTATTTATGTGCCAGATGCGTGTTTGTACATCGATGTGGCTGTGTGTTTATGTATGTGTATGCAAGTTATCCCACAGGCTTTCGTGGTTAAATCTAGAAGAATATTTTATATGTAATATTTTCTTCGAAGCACGTAAGCTTCCTAAACACGACCGCTGTCATCTTTAGCAGAAGATTGCACTGATATTGAAGATATGATAGTGAAAGAGCGATTCTCTTGTGTTTTGGATTAAAGAAGGGTTGTTTTGATTTTTGTTTTCCTGGATTAAAACCTAACAGTTTGTGTGGAGAAGGCTGCCTTTTAGGTTTTCCCCATCTCATCTTTTCAATGCCTGTGAAAGCGTCTCGGTAAGGAATATATTTGAGTGAGGTATTGTTACGTTAATTTTAAAAGGATAAGCTGCAGCGAGTTGAAACAAAAAATATCTTGCCGTAAATGTATTTAACGATGCTAGCCTTTGTGTGCGTGGGGTATTGAAATAAGTAAAAAAAGAAGAAAAAAAAATAAACGTAAACAAAAACCTCCCGACATTTGGCGTTACTTGTCCGAGTTGAGGTCTGGAACCAGAGTTAAAAATAATGCCCCCAGGCCTCTCAGGGTCAGCGTGGCGGGCAGGGGCTGCGGGCTGCCCTGCCCTGCGCCCCCAGCCCGGCCCGGCCGCCGCGGGGACCCTGGGCTGCCAGACCGAAGCGGCATGGAACGAGCCGCCGCTATCGCACATAAACAGTGATAGTGTTAACGAGGAGCAAAAGGGCATGAAAAGAGAGGGGACCTTCTTCTAAGAGGCAGCATTTTTCACCCTAACCCCTCTGAATTTCGTTGCTATGATTTATCTCGCAACCCCGGAGCTCACCAACTCGCTTGTGCCCCGGCCGCGGAGTTCAAAGCGCTGGCCGCGGGCAGGAGGGGGATGAACACGGCGTTTACAAACTGGGTTTACGAGGGGCTCGCCGGGCGCTGGCTCGGCGGAGGGAAGGGCCACCGGGGATGGGCCGGCCGGGCGCCTCCAACCTGACGCCGCTGCCCTTGCCTTGCAGGCCCCGTGGTCCTCAGCACGCCGGCACAGCTCATCGCCCCCGTGGTGGTGGCCAAGGGGACGCTCTCCATCACCACCACAGAGATCTACTTCGAGGTGGATGAAGATGACTCGGCCTTCAAGAAGATCGACCCCAAGGTGAGTGCGGCGGGCGGGCGGGCGCGGTCCCGGTTCCCGGTCCCCTGTCCCGGCACACGTGCGCCGGGGCCGCCCCCTCATTCCAAACTCCGCTCCTGTCTGCCGCCTTTCGCTGCATTAAAAAAAAAAAAAAAAAAAAAAAAAAAAAAAAAAAAAAAAAAAAAAAAAAAAAAAAGAGCGCAACGTATTAATGATGTTAAATCCTCTATTACGGCAGCGTGCGCGTTTTCCAGCAGCCTTTCGCGCGGTGCCTTTGTATGAACGTGGTCAGATTTAGTAGTTAAGCCAATTGCTCTGAAATCCCTGGAGGGAGCAGCAGTCCTAGCCCGCAGCCTTCCCGAGACACAGTGGAGGGTTTTACGCCTTCCGAGGTTATCGGAGAATCCCGTTATTTCAAAAACGTTAGTTTCCACGTGAGAAAATACGGCGCATTTTGTAAACACTTTGTAACTGCTAAAATGAAAGTTAATGCTTGTTTTCTGTGGGAAAAAAAGAAGATGGGGGGGGGGGGGGGGGGGGGGGGGGGGGGGGGGGGGGGGGGGGGGGGGGGGGGGGGGGGGGGGATGGAGTACAGACATGTACCGAAGACTTAGTTCCTGGGAAAGCTCTGGTTTTTTTCTGAAGTCATTTACTACTACCAATTCCCCAGCGCCGCCCCCCTTCCCCCTCCCTTCCGTGAAAGCCTCCAGCCCAGCCGCAACAGAGCAGGGGTGCGTGACTTGAGCGGAAACCTTTGCGTGGCTTTCTCCTCGCGGGAACGGCGCGGGGGATGCCACTCAGGGGAGGAGGGGGCAGACGGAAGGGACGTGTCTAACAGAGCGCTCCTCTCGTCTGCATCTCTTTTTGTTCTTACCGCTCTTGCATTATTTCTTTGCTATTGCTCTGGAAAATGTTGGAAGAGAGGAAATAGGGGAGGTACTTCTACAAAGACCTTGGGGTTTGGGGTTTTTCATGCAAAAATATTATAGATAATTTCCAAGAAATCTCCTTGTCTGAATACGTTTGCAATGAAGTGATTTCTCTTTGGCGAATAATTTGTCAAACTCGGAACTTTCTTCGCAGTTCTGGGGTAAAAAGTTTCTGTCAGAATCTCTGGATATAACAGTTTCGTTAAAGTGCACCCGCTGGAAATAGTTGCTAGGGGCTGTCACACAGGAGATCGGCCTCTTTCAGCACTTGTTGACTGTTAGGACCCTAATCAAAATCCGCGTTGTTAATTTGCGTTTTGGTTTAAAAGGCATTTTAAAGAAATGCATCCTGAGAGGGACCAGGCAGAGCGGTACCAGCCGCGCGGGAGGGGCGGCTTTGGATTGCGTGGTTTTGTAAGCACACACATGTTATTCCCTCTGTTTGCCCTGGGAGCTCATGGGCTTGATTTCTGGGAGTGCAACTGGCAATCTTAGCACATTCGTAACGGATTTGTAGGTCAGAAGTAATATTGTTGTTCACTTTATTGGTGCTGGCTCTCACCTATAAATTTTATTTTCTGCTTTATTAGTACCTGCACCAAATTGCTAGTTTTATCAGGATCACTGCTTACTCAAAACACTGCTTCACAGATACGTCGTGTTTCCTCACCTTTGTTCAAAAGCCAGCAGAAACACAACAGCACCGTATAATAAACCCTTCAAAACAGACTTCTTTCCTGACTGCTGGAAAAGTGTAACTGTGTTAATAAGTACGCTAGTGTCTAACAGTTGCTGCTGGTGATCTGGAGCTAAATTCCAATATTGTTGTACAACCAATATTTCCCTATTCTACAAAACTATTCAAAATGAAAAGTCAGAAGTCTGCCCTTAAGTTTTCTGCTTTACAGGATTTTAGCAACTATGCACAGAAAGGCAAAATCCACAAAACATAGCTGCCTCTGTTTTTTCAAGTGGAAAACTTGATCTGATATTGAAACACTTACCCATAAGTATTTTACTTCATTTATTAGCTTGTAATTAAATAAATCAGCAACAGAAATTAAAATCTAAATCACAAAAAGTAATTATCCAGTGTATTTCAAGTGCATTTTCAAATATATAATTCCAATATTCAAGCGTTATTATATAAGCAGAATCCAAATTTCTTTTGAATATATTTAAATAACATTTCAAGTATATTTATGGAATGTTAGAAATAGAACAAGCAATATATATGAAACGAAAAATGTAAACTTGTTAAGTTCAGACACTTCAAAAGACCATTAACAAAAGTACCGTGATAAAATCTACCTTTTAAAATGGTATCTTCTTTTTAGCAGAAAATGTCCTTGAAGTATCCAAAATGGCAATTTAACTTCTGTTCACCAAATCACAAAACACCAACATCCACAATTTCAAAGACAATGTGAGATCACAATATTTGATACAAATTAAAAGGTACATTAGGGTTTGTTCAGGTGGCATATCCAAATAGCTTTTACTCACAGAAGGTTTACATAAAAATACCGGGGTTTATTATAATCCGTTGGTACCGTTTTTTTAGGCAGAGTGGTCACAATCAAATTACGGCAAATTTTCCTTTCCAGGTAGCACATTTTCCTTTTATTCTTTTTTCTTTCTTTCTTTCTTTCTTTCTTTCTTTTTTTTTTTTTTTTTTTTCTTTTTTTTTGTTTTTCCCCCACGGGGAACTGCAAAACTGTGACGAAGAGGAACGATGCTTGCTGTTCTCATTTGCTTTTCTTTATGAAGAGCCTAAGCTATATTCCTTTTTTAAAAGAGAATATTATTTGCATTGTCAAGTGGAAATATATGACTTTTTAAACAGGCATCTTAAACTTCATCGGGAAATTAGCAGATTTATCGGTCAGGCCGGTTTTATAGTTACCCTCTAAAGTTTCTCCAAACTTTTCGGGTTGGTAAGTATTTCCCTAGCCAGTCGCCACGTTTGTTTGGCCGCGTTTTCCAGGGCCGAGTGAGGTTTGCCCTGAAAGAGGTCTAAGTTGGGCAAGAAGTAGTGCGGGCACCTCCTGCACTGGAGGCACGAGATGAGCTGCAGTAAAATCCCGTTGAGCCGGTCCCCCAGGCACGACTCGTCCCAGTCCGATTCGCGGGGATGCTTTTCGCATTCGTAGGAAACCAGAGTCTTCATGTGATAATTATTCAGGGGCTGGCCCGGCAGCTCCAGGTGACGGTCCCGTAAGGTTTTGAGGATGGAGAGGCATTTCTTCCTGCAGCCGCCCATCTGCAGTCTGTTCTCAGCTTCCGCGAACTGCAGCACCCAGGCATCGCTCTCGGCCGAGCTCTGCTTGCCGGCCAGAGAGTGGCACTCCTTGGACAAGAGGTTGAAGCCTTCCGCCTTGACCTCCGCCACCCGGTTGGGTCCCGGCCAGGGGATGTGGGGAAGCGGCCAGTGTGCAGCACTCCGCGGCCAGATCCCCGTGCACTTGAACGCTGGAGTGATCTGCACGACGTACCGATCCCTGATCCTCAGCTTCACTTCGCTGGTGTCCGCCACCATCTTTACCACGTCTCTGTAACTGCACTTATCCACGGCTTGAGCCACCAGAGTCTGGAATCTGGACCGGATTTTGCGAGCGGAGAGGTAGCCAGACGCCGTGATGAACTCCACCCAGAGGGACATGCTCCTCTTGCGCCCGTCGCTTAACTTTAACACAGCGCAGCCCGGCAAGGAGCCGTCGTCCACGAAGTTGAAAACCCCCATTTGGTTCAGATACAGCACGACTTCAAACTCCGTGGGGGAGATGACTTCCAGCCCCTCGTAGCGATTGTCCATCTCGTTCAAGGAACTGATGAAGCGAGGCTCCTGCACCTCCACTTCCTTCAGCACGTCCGACACCACTTTGCAGACTTCTCGGATCGTTTTGGCGATTGCAGCTTTCCTGGCTTGGCATTTCTCATTGTAGTATTTATTCAAATGATACACCAGCTTGGCCTGGGCCGCGATCATGTTGGGGCAGAGATCCGGATTGTATACCGGAGTCTCGCAATAGGCTGTGGGATCCAATGCGGCTGCTAAGGCTGGAGCCAACTTCAGAGGAGAAACAGGCTGCCGCACTCTGAAATGTAACAAATGTTTTTCAAAATGCGCCGGGGCTGCTGCTCCTCAGATGCTCTCTTCCTGCTTTTTTAGATCAGCCGTCTTGAAGTGTGTGTGGCGGGGGGGGGGGGGGGAGGGGGGAGCGGGCGGGGGACTGGAGGGGGCGATATTTTTCCTTCCCCTTTTTTTAAAGGGTCCGTGAGTGAGAGGGAAGCATCGAGAGCAGCACCTTTCCCAGCAGCAAGAAAAAACAAAAGTTGCACTGAGACACAGCGAGGGTTCCAGTAGTCAAAATAATAAAACCTCTTCGTATTTATTTATGTTTTCCCGTAGTAATCACCGTGTGTATGCAGGGCGGTTAATCAGATGGTGGAAAAAAGTGCCGTGTGTGTATGTCAGAAGAAGCTGGCTGTTGGTTTGTATAAGAGCCCAGATGCACTCGTGTGGAAATTATAAAGGCAGGGCCAGGCAGGCGAGCGGCCAATCGCCACTGGGCTCGTCACTGCAGCCTCTTTCAGCTCAAACCCGGCTAATTAATCCCTCTCTAGGAGATAGATATGTATACACAGCCACACGCACACACACACGCAGGCACATATAGAAAGGTAGAAAGGTTACTGGTTAAAAAGCCGCCCAGGTCCTCTGTACACTCGGAAATCAAGAGCAATCGCTCTCCTTTGGGTGTAACTTGAAGGGTATTGACGTTTCGAGAGGACTTGGCAAAACTGTGCCGCTCCGTACTGAATCCCTGCGTGCCTCCTCATGGCCGGGACATGAATGCAGGTGTATTAATGGGCATCCATCAACTAGGGAGCTACAGACCGGGCTCCCTCCGGCAGGAGCACAGGCGTAAATTCATTAACCCCCACTCTGCGTCACATCACGCAGTCCTTTTCCTCCTAATAGTTGTCTGTAACTGCAAGCGAGAAGTAGGTTTGTTTTTTATTTTTTCTCTCGTGAACCGGCTAGTGAACAAGGCAGCGGATTCACGGCAAATTTAGTGCTCTTCGGAATAAAATATTGCTCAGAAGTCCACGATTTGTATTGTTTTAAAGGATCTTCTGACAGGCTCTAATCGATTTTGAGGTTTAATGCATTTCGGCATTGTCTCTGCCTTGCTTTTTTTTTATTTGTACCTTATGAAGGGAGAATCAATCGCTAAATATATCTGTCAAGTCTTTTTCACGTTCCTTCCAAAAATCAAGTAGCAGATACAGACGGTAAATCTCCTTTGCCAATTCTTAGCATCGTTTTTATATTTTGTATTGCGCTTCGATATGTTGTGAGGAGTAGATGTTCGGCTGCTTTTCGAGACGCACTAGAAGTACCTATTAATTTCAAACCTGGAGGATTTATCGTACAGCGAGCTGTGCTAGCAAGCTGCGCTTAGTAAATGTGCACACGGGAGGCACGCTAGCGACTGCAAACATGCTGGCTTGCTTGTCTGACAGTTTGGGGTTTCGCCTGTGTGATGTGTAATTAGCAAATTTCGCCTTCGGTACTTTTAAGTGTTGGTAATCGGGACCTTTATCTGCGAATAAACCGGAGTGGTAAGCTCTTCTGCTTCACAGCATTTACTGAGCTTCACTTCAAGAGACCCCTAAATTATATATATATGTATATATTAAAAAAAAATATATAAACTACCAAAGCTTTTAATCGCCTGGAATCTTTAGACTACTGACTGATTACCTTTTCATAACGTAACTGTCACGGGCATATCAGTCGCTGAGGAGAAATCATACCACAAAGAACATTTCACGACATTTATTCAGCGTACGAATGCGACCAACTTTATTGCACATAGCGGAGAATTTGTGACTGTGCTCTTGGCTCCCTCGGTCTAGCGGTTATATGGGTGTTCCCGTGCCGCTCCCGAGGAGGAAGCCGATCGGAATTCTTTCCTGCTCATGAACTGAGCAGGGCTGCGGCTGTCGCTGAAAAACTGCAGGTGACAGGTCGTTCCCGAAGCAGCTTACCTCTTCTCGGCCGCAGCCCTTGGCCGCCGGGAGAAGGGCGACCACTTTCTGGCTGTTTGGGGCGGAGAGGAGGCAGTTTCCTCCCGGGCTTTCTCCCTCCCTCCTCCGCTTAGTTTCCCGGCCGGGCGCCGGGCGGGACACGCGTGCCTCCCCCCGGCCGCGGCGGGTCCGGCGGCGGCGGCAGCGGCACAGAGCGCCCGGTCCCGGTGCCTCCCGAGCCGCCGCCGAGGAGCGCTGCCGCCGTCCGTCCCTACGCCGGGCCCGGCGCTGCCGCCTCCCTCCCTCTCTCCCTCCCTCCCTCTCTCCTCCCCCGCGGGGCGGTGGCGTGCGCGGCCGCGGGATCCGAGGGCCGGCTGCCCCAGCTTTCCCGGAGCAGGCGCTTCCTTCCAGGAGTTGGGGCTGGCTCCGAGGGGACAGGGGTGCGCCTCCCCGCCGCTCCTACCGGCGGCTGCCCCCGGCTGCGCGGGCAACCTGCTCGGCGGCGGGGGCGGAGGTCGGCCCTCTTCCCTTTTCTCTCTTCCCTTTTCCCTCTTCCCCCTTCCGCGGGGGCCGGCGCACGCAGAGCCGCCTCGGCGGCACCGCCACCGGCCCCGGCGGCGGGCGGGGAGGGGGAGGCACCTCTCCGGCCCGGCACATCCCGCCCCAGTGCCCCCGGATGGGGCCGGCACGACCCAGCCCGCCCCTCGGGGCCGGGGGCGATGCCGGTCGCGCCGTGCCCTCAGAGCCGGCGTGGTGTTGGCCGCAGCAGGGCACGGCTGGGCTGAGAAGGGAAGGAAAAGCGGTCAAGTTGGGACTAACTCCGGCGGGCGGGTGCCGGGGACCGACTGGTGCGGGGGAAGGCCCAAGGTCCGGCCCCCGTTCCGCCCCGGCGGCGGCCGCTGGTCCCGGAGCCGCACGGCTCGAAACTGCCGGCGCTGCCGCGTCGGGGACGGCTTCTTTGGGATGGAAATGTCAAAGAGCCCCTTTCTCGCAGGGTCACAGACCAGCGCCGGGTAAAAGCGAAAGTTACAACGGGCGGACAAAAGGTTGTCCCTTCCTCCCTTTCCGCCGAGGGAACAGCCCTTTCCTGCGGTGGGGGCACCCCTCCACTTCCCAGAGATGCAGGAGCCTCAGAGCTGCACGTTAGCGATGGGGATGTTCCGAGCCAGGTTTTGCTTCTTTTTGCCCACTAGGTTTTGGTTTGGCAATTGCAGTTGCCAAAGGCAAAAGTGGAAAGGTCGTACCTTTAAGCTGTCAGAAGTCGTAACATTCAAAACGTGGCAAAATTAATTTAAACAAAAATTACGTCTTAGATACTAAATCAGAGTTTTCAATGTGCATGGCTAAGATTAAGCTATGATATCAAGTATGCAGGTTATACGTATTTATTATATCTCGGTGGCCATGAGAAATACTAGATTTAGGCTTGACTGGGTGATATTTAACACTGAAAGTCTCTATTAACTCCACGCCATCATTTCGTTTCACGCACCAAACATTTAATAGTTTGAAAATTTGTATATTTAGGCATCACGGACACCACTGAAATGTGACTGTTGAAGTGACCCAATCGTTTAACAGAACAAGAAGTCAGTTTTGTTTGGGCGTCGAAAATTATTATCTATATGACTATATATGATATAAAAATATAGGCATTTTTCAAAACTTCTGACCATCTACTGCAGTTAATTTTCCTCTGTAGTTATTAGTGCATCCTTGGTAAACTACAAAAGGAATACCTTTTCAGCAATGAATTTTATTTCTACTGGGTTTATTGAGTATTAAGTTGTTTTGGAAAATCGTGATTAAGGTCACTAATTAAAATGATGATTGATCATTTGTCATGATAATGGTACCATATGATTTTGGTGACTTTTACCAAATTGCCGTTTTCCAGATATTTCCTCTAATTAGGGGGTACTATAACAGTATTCGTTGAGCTCTGCTTGTTATTTCAAATGTTTCAAACTACATTGCCTTGTCATGTAGTGCTCATGTTAGCCAAAAAGCCAAATGGTGGTGTTGAAAATCTTTGTATTCACCCACATCTCCAAATTGCAATTTGAGGCGGGGGGGGAAGAGTCACCATACATATAAATTTAATCAATATTTTCTTTTTCATATGGTGAAAAGTGTGAGTTAAAATGCACATGCAGATGCATGTCTGCACAAAGGGTTTGCATGGATATCGCTTTATATTTCTTATTGTATAGCAATACTTCTTCCACACACAACTGCTCATGAATTTTAAAGTTTTATTTTTTAATATCTGCCAATTGCACTAGGGAGGTAAGAAGAAAAAAAATGAAGCTGAGTTGATTAAATTATTTATCCTTACTGCTGAAGTGAGTTTGAAGGCTCATTGAATGTATCTGATTTCATGGCTTCTCTTTCTCCCCTTCCCCCCTCAATTCTTCCTGGTTATTTCATCCATATCATCCTGCCAGCAACAATAAATTCACTTTTTTTTTTTTTTTTCAAGTAAGAAAACTAAAGACAGATATTTGTGCTGGGTTTGCTATATGTGTCACATTTTATAAAATAGGCAGCATCTTTTTTTGGTGATAGAAGTCAACAGTACCTTCAATTTTCTGTATTCTTATTTTATAGTTTACTTTTTGCCTCTACCTTCAAATTTAGGAACAAATGAAAAACTGAAATGTAAGTTGCTATAATGTTTGCAAAATTGCAATTTTAATAAATTTATACACTTCATTGCTAAGACTTGTGGGTCTTATTTGGTACACAAGCATTTTTCTGTTGTGAACAGTTTTCTGCAATTTTTAATTTTTTTTTCAGAAATAATGTCATAGTTCCTTTTACAGTACACAATTAACATTCATTAGGGTTAAACTTAATGTGTATGTATTTTCTTCCTGTTAAAAATTAAAGAAAAACATGAAGATAGTTTGCATTACTGTTGGACTTGGTCATCCTAGGTCTTACGGATGAACTGTTAATGCTTTAAATTCCACTAATCTGCAATCTGTTAAGGCAAAAACTGTAATTGATTTGTTTTCTCTAAAATGTTATGTCTCAAAAGTAAACATGGAGCTTGCACAACTGTGATTTTGGCTAGAACTGCAGAAACATGTAGGCAGGAAAAAAATGCATTGATTTATTCATTTGGTTCACTTATCCATCAGCTTCTTCAA